TTCAGTAAAAGGTATAATAACTAAAAAAAAGGATATTTTGCAAATATTCTGCAAGCTAAATATTTTAACTACTTTTAATATTGACAATTAATATATGTTCATCATATAATACTTCCAGTTTCATTCTAGTATCATGAAACTCATTTCATTGAGATGAACAATCCATATAAAAAGATAATGCACGTTTTCTCCACAAATAAGTAAATATAAGTAATAATATTGAAAAATGAAATATTGAAAAATCATTATGTTATAGTATTCAGTTTCAATCCAGAGTCTGGGTACTCATTTTATTAAGATGAAATTTCAGCTCAATACAAATAGAGAATGCACATCCTGTTGTACAAGGCAACATCTTTTAATATTGAAAACTTATTTATCTATAACTTATAAACTTAATTGGTCATAATAAGTTATCGGATTTTGGCATGATAGAGCTTTCCTCTCCAGTTGTCTCTACTACATGCGTGCTTTCTGTTGTCGTATACTTCAAAACTTCACCGGAGCCAATGTCCAAATCTCCCTCTTCGACTTCATCTTTAGACTGATATTTCAAAGTAGTTTTTCGCTAGAGCATCATTTCTTATGACATGACTAATCCAGCGAATCCGGCTATAGCTCGTACAATTCGAGGTTGATTCAGATGCTGTTGTTCTCGCAATATCGCAGAGGATCATAGATCTTACTAAGAGCTTTTCTTTTGAAAGCTGCACATCATACTGTGATATCGTCTATTTTTTTGCGACATACAGAAGCGAATGTGGGAAATGTGGGTTGAATGACCTAAGCTTCGGCGTAAGTTTTTCTCTCACGAGAGACTTCTATATTTCAACTGAGTTCGTAGTACCATTTATTGGTAATTGCGATGTTGTTGTTCAAAATGTTGATGACATACTGGAAATTGCTATTCTTTGTTTGATCGTCAGGTTGATATAGTTGTTGTTCATTATGGTGATGCTAAGATAGATGAAATTCTTATTATTTCAGAAGTGTAGCCATCAACTTTTTGTCAAAAGCTGCCTTATTATCAACAAAAAGATGGTAAGTGTCGATGTTATGTATTAAAGTTAAAATTATAAATAATTGGTAATAAAATGATTTAACTGCTTGAATTTTATTTTCTTAATAAGGTGAAAGGCTTTTTCATCTTATTAACTTACCTTATCAAAATTTTCTTAAAGCATTTTTAATGTCGTTTTAAGTTTCATTAATTTCCTGCTTTATGTTTTGTTAATTGAGTTATTAGTACATATTGACTCATCAATAAATAATTAAATTTCTTGTATTCCATAATTAATGTAAAATATATTATATGTAAACTATTACATATTTAACTTTAGATTATTTAATTATTCTTAAATAACAAATATTTATCATTTGACTTAACAAACTGAGATAAATAATCTGTTATGTTTTTATTCCAATATTTGCCATTTTTGTTGGTAGAATAAATATTGTAATCTGTGCGATATTAAATAAATTATTGATATAAATTAAGAATTTTATTAATACCATACAAGAATGCTAACATTATAATGATATTTGCTTTCATACTAAAATCGAATTATTATGGCAAAAATGTCATTAAATGTAAACGAGCATATCGAAAGTATCTGAATTCTATTAGAAACGAAGTCGTAATTGAATTCATATTCTCACATGTGCATAATCAAGGCTGTACGAGCTTGTATGAGACCAGATTTATTTGTGTTTATTGTCTATGTTTACACTGGAGAAGCGTTTAAGTATGTGTCTGAAAAGTATTTGATTTGTCTATAAAATTTAATATTGTTTATATTAGATTATGGCAAAGTAATAAAAGTAGTTTAAGCATTAAAAAATATTTTAGTTTTGTTCGATTGGAGTAAGAGGAAAGCTTTTGGCGACAGCATATAATAAACTTCGATATGCCCGAAAAGCAGAAGACAGTGCCTCCACGTTTTATTATTGTCTTTAAATCTAAACTAAATAAATTTTATTTATTTATCAATTTAATTTTATATTAAAATCGAAAAAAAGGAGAGAAAATAGAAAGAAACATATAATACAGTAAAAACTAATTTAGAGGACGTGAGTCGTTTCTAAAGAGCTGACGAGGTACAAATATCTCCATCGAGTTAACAATAAAAATACTGATTGGTGTTCTGTCTAAATAGATAGATCTATTACTAAATGCTTAATAATAATTAACAATTTAAATTTTAAGTGGTATGGTTTAGGGAAGGGTGGTTTACAATATCAAGTAATCTTTACATTTAATTTTTA